GAAAAGGAAAAAAATGGAAACAAAGTCTTTGCAAATAGGGAAGGGTGGAGGGGGTGAAGGGAGGGCAAGGGAAAGGGAAAAAAAAAGGAACCAAGATACATCATGTAAAGGTACAAGATCCCAATGATGTATGTAACTGTATTTTATACCAAAAATGTACCAATAATCTTAATGGAAAAAAATCTAGGAATAATCCTTTATTCTTCTTTTTCCTTCTACTCATATCCAACCTATCAGCAGATCCTAACTTAACCACCTTCAAAATAGACCCCGAATCTATTATCTAACCATTTCCTCATCAGTTAGGACACTAGCCTAAGACTGGAACATAAGCTAACTGGTCTCTCTGCTTCCCCCATCTTTCAGTTTTCTCCAATCTTAACTTTTATACTACAGCTCCACATTTCATACAGGTGAGTCAAATTATGCCACTCCTCTTCTCAGTCTCACTAATGGTTTCCATTTACATACCCATGCCAGGCTATAAGGACACTCCTCAACCAGTCTGTTTGTCTTCCCTATTCAATTTCTTTCCACTCTTCTTAATCACTATGTTAATCTCACTGGCTTCCCTGCTATTGCTCAAATGTACCATATATGCTGTCATTTTAGGGCCTCTTCACTTGCCTTTAACACTGCTCAGAGTGCTATTTCTCCAAATAGTAACATGTATACATTTACTTCATTAGGGTCTCTACCTATGATACCTCTTCAAACAGGCCTTCTACAACCACCTTTGCTCAAGCAACAAACCTTCTCCACATGTCCTTACCCCCTCATTTTTCTTCATTGCACCTGATATATACTTACTTATATTCTGACTGTCTGTCTTCTTCACTGGAATGCATACGCCATAAAGTGGGTACTTTGTGTTAGTCACAGCTGGATAACCAGCACACAGAAGAATACCTGGCACACAGTAAGGAACTTAATATCGATTAAACCAACAAATGGGATTTCTAGTCTCAAAATACCTAATAATATTGTTTTTGCTTGAATGGAGGGGAGAAAAAGAAACACAAGAATGGGCCCTTAAAGCAAAGATAAATTCAGCTTTATCCCTCTCAAATAATATGAATTTTATTAAAAGTTAATCAGTAGCACTGAAGGAAAATTTTATAGCAAATTTTACACAATATATTCTATTATGAAAATTTAAAAAAGCTTCAGAAGTACTTCTGCAAGTAAAGTTAAATTATATAGGTTTAAATATTTAAAAACTAGATATATCCAGATACACAGATAAAATAGAGCATTTCCATAAAAATCAAACCAGTATAAACAGAAATACCTTGATTATTCCTATAATTCTCTTCCCTTCCTTCCCTCTTTAAATTGCTACCAGTAAAGACTTAGGAATCCATCAGCTACTTTAGGTTCTTAGAGTCATATATATTGTAATATATTAATTTGGTCTTGGTACCGTTCATATAAGAAAAATGACAATATCCATAGAGCTTTCACTAAGTCAGCAGAATATTTTGCATGAATGAGTATGTTTGTGGATTACCACTGTATACTACCATATCTGCTCTCTGTCATCAGTGCAGCTTATAGTACACAAAAATGGAAAAAATTTCATCACAAAGCATATGTGTCTCTTCATGTAATATTTGGTGGAAGGCAGAGCTTGATGATGAAGAGGCAATTTTTCACAAATAGGCTAAAAATTTAACTCTTGAAAAATAAGTTAGCCACACCAGGGTTCTCTTGAGCCACAGTCAAAAGGCCAGTCTGAGCTCTCCTTGAAGATTGTACTTTGTTAGTGAATTAAATACGGAAACTCAAGTTGAGCTGGTTGGCCTCTCCAGCAATGAGGAAGGATTTAGTCCAGCATGATCAATTTGTTTTATGCCAACTTTCATTATTTAATGTTCATCACTGTGGTTATGCTTTCTGATCAGGGGACAGAAGAATGATGAATACTTCTTCTTATGAAAAATTTCAAGCCTTGCAACCCTTCTGAAAATAAATAGTCCAAATACCAGTTCCATTTCTTCCCCTGCAGGCACAGAAAAAGGAAAATTACTTATTGAATATGTATACTTATTCTGTACTTCGTTTTCTTTTCCTAGGAAAAGTACATATCATCCTTGATGCACAAGAGTTAACTCAGAAGATCATAATTGGAAGTTAATCACTAGGAAACAAATCAGAATACACCCAAAGTCCAAAAGCTAAATATCTCTTTCATTATGTTGGCAAAACAAAAACAAAACTAAACCTGTTCAACTGAATGAAGTACTATGAAATGGATATGTGCCAACACTCCCATACTCTAGAAGTTTAACACCTAAAATATGTAACACAGGAGCAGACATTATTGTATTACTCTCTAAAATAAATATGTACATAGCAGGAGTTTCTATAATATTGAGACAATTGTATACAATTTTGTTAAATGAGTCACAGTACAGTTACATTTTGTAGACATATAGCTGGTACTACTAAACACTGTGACAATGCATGGTCAGGACAGCAAGAGTCAAACTATGAAGAGCTATATCTGAGAGAAGAATGAACTAGGTGTGTGCCAATAAATTCATGTAAAAGACACTGAAATGAACACAGGAGGCAAATATTACACTTCCACACTGTAGAGGCATCACACTTAAGATTTAGAAAAAAGTATAAAGTCTTTTAATAAAATTATCTTAAGGGAAATCCCTGACCAGGATAAAAATAAAGTTATTTACCTGAATAGAGCTCACGTTTACTGTCCTTTTTTCTGGGCTTTCCTAAAAAAAAAAGGAAGTGGGGGACATGGGGGATGAAAATACTCAGCAGAAATCACCAGAAAAGATACTTCTTCATTCTCTTACACATTGCTAAATTTTATTCCTACCATCACTCTTGGATTCCTTTGAATAGATGTCCACTATAATGCTTGATTTTTCCTTCTCCCCAGAAGCACAAAAAACAGGGAAACTAAAATCACAGTGAATAAAGTAAGCATCATTTAGCTAATCTGTGGCTTTCTCTTTTTTAAATTCTGTACTTAGGCACTAGAATAGAGATGGACAGTGTTAGAAAAGGCTTTTTCTGAGGAATGTGATCTCTGAATTCAGTCTTGAAGGATAAAGAGAATGTCTGGTAAAGAGGCAGTGTACATAATAGATTCTATGAAGCTCTAAATCTTTACTTATCTATTCCCTGGCTTTATCATCTACTGTGTTTTTTTTTTTACCTACTGTATTTCACTGAACCTAAAATCCATCAATTCTAAGAAGTAACATTATTAAATATCAGTAAGAGAAAACACTGCAATATTATAGTACAATGCCTTTCAATACTGACAATTTTTATTTCATAATGACTGAAGCTATTTTAGATACAATGTTTACCATATATCATTTTATATTTTTTAAATTTTTTATTTTTATTTTGTGGTACCGGGGATTGAACTCAGGACCTTGCACTTGCAAGGCAGGCGAAGCGCCATTCAGCTAAATCCCTGGCCCTCCATATATCACTTTAATAAACATATCATAGTAAATATAAACCAAAAAATTTGTGAAAGTATTTCTAAAATATATTTAGAGTTCAACTGTTCTATCACTTCTTGGCTTTTGAAGAACTTTTCTACTCAAATTGTGTGGTATCTGTTTTTTCCATACCACATCATTTTCTGTGTTGATGATGCAGCACTTTTTTTCTCCTTTATGGCACTGGGGGTTGGTTGAACTCAGGGCCTTGCAATACTAGGCAAGTGCTCTACCTCTGAGCTACATTCCTAGCCTGATGCAGTGTTTTGTAAAAGAACTAAAAGCTACTAGTGTTGGTGTCTCAATTATGTACAGCTAACTATATTCCATCATCTGTGTCCACAGGTTGCACACCTACAGATTCAACCAATCTCAGAACAAAAATATTTGAACTCAGCATAGTGATGCATGCATGAAATTCCAGCACTCTGGGACTCTAAGGCAGGAAGACTACAAGTTTGAGCCCAGCCTGGGCAAGTTAGCAACTTGGTGAGATCATGTCTAAGCCATGGGTTAAATCCCTACTACCATAAAAGAGAAGAAAATTTGGGAAATAATTCCAAAAAGCAAACCTTGAATTTGCTGTGCTGCTGTATCCCACTATAGCATCCCACCATTTCACACATCCTGTTTCCTTTCAGCACTTTATGTTTGAGCACTGTTCACCTAGCATCAATGGTTGTCTGTACAGAATACATACAGATATTTTTCCCTGTCATTATTCCCTGAACAGTATCAATATAGTGTAACAACTATTTATATATTATTTTCATTCTATTAGGTATTAGAAGTAATCTAGAAATGACTGAAAGTAGAAAGCCCAACTTAAAGACGATTTAACTTAAGATCTTTTGAGTTTATGATGGGTTTATCAGAACAAAACCTCATCCTGAGTGGAGGAGCATCTGTATACAGGGGGATGTGTATAGGTTATATGCAAAAACTATGTCATTTTATATAAAGGTCTTTGGCACCTGTGAATTTTGTAATCTAATCCCCCAAGGGTAGATGCCAAGGGTCAACTGTATTTTTGGTCCTGCTTTAGGAAAGGCCATAATATGGATGGTTCACTTTCTTCTCCCACATTATTGGTTTTTGAAGGTTAAAACAGCGCTCTTAGTAGTGTCTCCACAATTTTCTTCCCAAGCTGTGACATTTGTTCTGCAAAGTCTGATTCTGGCAATCTGCTTGTGCATGTGTGAACAGCAAATGACAACTATAGCATGATTTCTATCTGACTGATAATGATTACAAGATACATCCTGATCTTTGAGAAGTTAGAAAGTAAAAATAAAAGGGGGGTGGGCTGGGGATGTAGCTCAGTGGCACAGTGCCTGGCTGGCAAGTGTGAGGTCGTGAGTGAGTTCGATCCCTAGTACAAAAAAAAAAGTGAAAAAAAAGTGGGTCTTTTCCTCAACTATCATTGGTATGTTTTTGTGATACACAGTAAATACATTCATTATGGGGAAAATGGTACATATATAATACATATAACATCTAGATCTTATTACTTTCCCTACCCTCCCTCCCATCTACTCCATCCCCAGATTCCCTTTTCATCCTTTCAAAGAACCAACTCTTTGATTTACTGATTCTTTGCATTATTTTTAGTCTTAAGTTCATTAATTTCTGCTCTGATCTTTATAATTCCTTTCCTTCTATTACTTATCATCCTCCTACTACCTTAAGATGCATCATTAGGTTATTTATTTGAGATTGTTCTATTCGTTTTTTATTGCAACCCTACTTAAAAACTCTTCCACTGTATTCCAGTGGACTCTTGAACAGAAAACAGAAGGCTACTGTGTCTGTTTAAGCTTTTTCTTACTCCATTCTCCCTCTTGTTTTTAAGCACTAAGTCATATTGGTCTCATTTTCCTTGAAATCGTTAAGCTGTTGTACTGTTTAGAATGCTTGTACTATACCTATTTCCAAGCTGGCTTGTTCTTATCTATAAGGAGAAATCTCAGATCAAATTTCACCTTCCTTTGTCACCATCCCTGATAACTTACCATTTACTCTCTCACCTCATCCTGCTTTTTTCTTTGTAGCATTTATCAATATTTAAAATTATGTTTACTTATGATAAGAATTGACTTATGAAAATCATTTCTATTTTATCTACGATTCATTACGTACTATTCCAACTAAGAATTGTAGAAGATGCAACTGTGTTGATAAACTATGGAGAAATAGACATCACTGACTGTTAGTAGGAATATAAATTGGTATAAGTCCTACTGAAAGCAATATTCCTATATCCAACAAAATTTCAAAGATATACCCTTTGAAAGGGACTGACTTGACTTACATTAGATTTATACCACAAAATACTATGCAAACACTAAAAGGAATAAGGCAGCTTTTTACATATCAACAGGAAACAAAAGTCAAGATATTATGTCAAAAAATCAGAGGGGAAAAAAAAAGTATAGTGCATAGTATTGAAAAAGATAATTTTCACCGAAATGTACAGTATGCATATGATAGGATATTCAAGAAACTGCTTTGAGTGGATGCTTCTGGAGAGGGGAACTGAGTAATCAGGGGATACAGGTGGGAGGATTATTTTAAAAAAACAATCTCTGTTCTGTCTCTACAGATTTACTTATTCAGGATATTTCATATAGGTGGAATCAAACAATGGGATTTTTTGTACCTAGCAATTCACTTAGCATAATGCTTTCAAGGTTCATTCACAATATAGCATGTATAAATATTCCATTTTTTTGTGTGGTACTGGGGATTGAACCCAATACATTGTGCTTGCCAGGCAAGCGTGGTGCCCCACTGACTTACATCCACGGCCCTCATTCCTTTTTTTTTTTGGTACCGGGGATCGAACTTGGGACCTTGCGCTTACAAGACAGGCGGAGGAACCACTGAGCTAAATCCCCAGGCCCCCCACTTCATTCCTTTTTGTAGAAGAATAATTTCCATTATATGAACATGCTATAATTTGTTTATCCATTTAGCAGTTGATGAACAGGTGAGCTTGTGACTATTGTGGTAATGACGTTATGAACAAGAGTATACAAACATTTGATTGAGCACCTGTTTTCAGTTCTTTTGAGTATATAACTAGGAGTAGAATGAGGGGTTAGATGATAAATTCTGTTTAATTTGGGGACAACTGCCAAACACTTCTTAATTTTTTTTTTTGGTACCGGGAATCAAACCCGGGTCCTTGCGCTTGCAAGGCAGGCAGCAGAACCACTGAGCTAAATCTCCGGCCCTACTTCTCAATTATTTTGAAACAATCCCAAATACTGTATGATTTCATGGAAACTTTAAAAAAATTATATACTTTTTGGTAACTGACTTTTTTTACATGTGGAAGCACAATCTACTCAAAAATTAAAAAAATTTTATCAAGTCAAAAATCACTTAACAGGAATGGGACTTCAAGTTGATTAAAAAGTGTCTGTTAGAGTAAGAAACAAAGTCTGTGACATAAAATTGATTACAAGCACACACTCAAGAGCATCTCAAGTCATCTAACAAAACAGCCATATCAGAAGATGATTATAGATAGAGATGCTGGATATAGGGTATGGAGGAAAAAAATTTAAAGCAGGATACATCAACATCAGCACTGCAAGAAAAGAGAGCTGCAAGGTCTCCCCAAAGAAACTGATTATTGAAACAAAGTATGAGGAAGTCCAGTCCTAAAAGTGTCCAACAGAACAACAGTTCCTCTTATCCAAGAACAAAAAGAAAGTAAAGACAGGTTGGCTAGCTCTTCAGGGAGAACCAAGGAAGTGACAACTAAGTAGAGACCTCCTAGGGACAGATCAAACCTCAAAGATTGGCCTCACAAAATATCCTTACCTGAATTTAGTTCAATCAGACGGCTGAGCAATTTATGCCTCAGGGCACTGACAAAAACAATAGAGAAATTAGGCTAGTATTATTGGAGCTTAATGAGTAGGTTATGATACTGAAACAAGCACACACCTTAGACAGATGAGGGAAAGAAAGAAATGAGAGCTCTGTTAAAAGCACTGTCATTCCAGGGTACTTGTGCATGTGCCCAAGACTGACCACAGTGGGACGAAATTAGAAGACAGTGATAAGAGGACTGCGGATGTAGCTCAGCGGTAGAGGGCTTGCCTAGCAAATGTGAGGCCTCAGGTTTGATGGAAGAAAGAAGGGAAGAGGGAGGGAGGCGGGAGGGAGGGAAGAAGGAAGAAGAGAGGAAGGAAGGAAAAAAGAAAAGATAGGAATTAGGGAAATTCACAAGTATGTGGAAA